GAAGCGAGGAGGGAAAGGAAAAGGGGGAGGAGGGGGAGGAGCAGGTGGAAGAGGAGGAGGATGAGGAGGGGGGGGAGGAGCAGGTGGAGGAGGACGAGAAGGAGGACGAGGAGGAGGGAGGAGGAGGACGAGGAGAAGGAAGAGGAGGAGGAGGAGGGGGAGGAGGAGGACGAGGAGGACGAATAATCATAATTTAAAATTAGACGGAACAAAATAATAATATAACCTTATTGCTGATAGCGATAATACTATTAATAATTGTTTTTTCTAATACTACTAATACGAATGACACCAATGCTATGAGTATTCGGCATGGGAATCATAGTACGAAGGCTCGTAACAATACTAAGAAGACTAATGCTATCAAAGATGATATTGATAGTAATATCACAAACAATAGAACTACTCATAATAATAATACATACTACTAGTCGTAATAGTATTATGATGAACAATAATATGAGTAATCATAATCAGACGAATAATGAGGATAATCGTAATAATGGCAAGACTAAGTGTACTAATACGAATAATTGTAAGGCGAATAATGATAGTAATGATACGAGTAATATTAATAACATTATTAATAATATGGATATGGAGAAGAATCAGAAGACGAATACTACTAATAATAATAATAATAATACCAATAATTTCAACATTGCTACTAATACGAAAACCAATACTAGTAGTAATAATACTACTGATAGTAATACTACCAGTAGTAATACTGAGAATGCTACTACTACTACTACTACTACTAATACTAATAATAATACTACTAATGATGATAATAATACTAGTAATATAATTACTACTGCTGCTGCTGCTGCTACTACTACTTCTACTACTACTACTACTACTACTACTACTACTACTACTACTACTACTACTACTAGTACTACTACTACTACTACTACTACCACCACTACTACTACTACTACTACTACTACCACTACTACTACTACTACTACTACTACTACTACTACTACTACTACTACTACTACTACTACTACTACTATACTTACTACTACTATTAATATTAATACTAGGGCGGGGGTGAGAGGGGGGGGGGCGGCTGGTCGTCGCGACGGGGGGGGAGGCAGCTCGGGAAGGGAAGAGAGATACCCACGAGCTCCCGCAGCTGCACTTGCGGCCTGCGCCTGGCGCGGGCGGCTCAGCGCTACGCCTCGGGGGCGCGGCCCGGCGCGAGCTTTGGCTCGGCCTCGCCGCCGAGCCCTGGGCTTGGCCAACACCTCGCGGCTCCGCTCGGCTCGGACGGCCGCCACGGCGCCGCGCACAGCCCCGAGCCTCGCTCGCAGCTGGGCCAGCTCCGCCCCCTAGGCATCGCCGATGCACCGGCGATGCGGGTTGATGTGGAGCCCGCTTTTCTTCACGCCGACGTCGCCGATGCATCGCCGATGCCTCGCCGATGCCTCGCCGATGCGGCGCGACCCCATCTGGGAGGCCTCTAACGCTGGAGGAGGCGGCCTCCCCCTCGCCACGCGGGCGGCCGTCCGCCGCTCCAGAGGGCCAGCGCCTCTGCGCCCCCTCCACGGCCGAGGGCCGCTGCCAGCCTCGGCAGCCACTCGCAGCCCCCGTCGCCGACGGTGGTCGTGGCCTCCATCGCCGCGCCGAGCCCGTCGACCCAGCGAGCGGAAGGCGCTCGTGCGCGGCCCGCCTCCGGCGGCTCGGCCGGGCGGCGGCGGTGGAACCTCCGAAAGTCACTGCGCGGCGCTCTGCGGCGAGAGCACTGTGCAGCCTTTCTCGAGTGGCCAATTTGCCGATGGCCGCGGCGAACACTTGGTGGGCGAAACAAGGTATTTCATAAACTTTTCCGTCGCTGGGGGCGCCTGCTCCGAGCGGCTGGAGAGTTCATGCCCCCACGCGGCGCCGTAAGGCTTGAGGGTATAAGCAACATTGCAGCCGCTGGGGGATGCGCTGGGGGGGTCAGGCGCCCCCGACGGCGGAACAGTTTATGTTATACCCTTCTTCGCCCGCTAAACTCAGCCTGTCTCGAGCGGCCAGCTTTCCCGCGGCCGCGGCGAAAACGAAACATGCGCCACCCTGGTACAGCCGCTGCCACTCTCACGCGCCACTGCGCAGCGCCCGGGCGAGGACAGCAGGTGGCCCGCTCCGCTCCCGCCGCCGGTGCCGCTGTCAACGGTTCGGGGTGAGCGCGGGACATGGGCCGCCCCCGCGCGGGAGGGCCACTTTCGGGGACGCGCAAGACTCGAGCGAGTACGCCGGAACTCGGGTTTGCCGACGCTTTTCGACGAGCGCGTCCTGGATGTCGACGGTCCAGTTTCCGTGGAAGGTTTGTGCAGCGGGAGCTCGCGTCAGCTTTCAGACTGGGCCTTCTCATTCTCATGGTGACCCCGTCAGGCAAATTCGCGTGCCCCGAACTCGAGCCTCACGTCTCCCAGACACTTCTGCGCGAACCCTGCACGGAGCTCCAGCTCGCGCGAGTCCCCCGCCCCTCGCGATTTTTGGCAGTTGGGCATATACTGTCGGCTTGTGATTAACAAATGGTGGCCCCCCCGGGAGCTGCCGCTCGCCAGGGGGTCGTCGCGGGCGCCGCCTAGGGTATCGTGTACCCCCCTGCACGGCAGCCTCAAAACAAATGCCTTTCGTATGAAAATTGCTGTAGAGATCGTACATATCCGAGGCGAAACTTTCCCTCTTCTCAGGCTGACTTCGGCGGCGCGCGCAAGGGAGAAGGGGGAGGAGGGAAGGCTTCTCAGAAGCAAGCTGCGTCTTAGAAGGCGCTGGCCCTACATCTACAGACAAAGGCCCGCGCCTTCTAAGAAGCAGGGGTGCTTTTAAGAAGCCTTCCCCCGTCCCCCTACCCCCCTGTGCGCGCCGCCAAAGAGTTCTGACGTGCTACAGTCGTCGTCGTTGTCGTCGTCGTCGTTGTTGTCGTTGTCGTTGTCGTTGTCGTTGTCGTCGTCTTCATCGTCGTCGTCATCGTCGTCGTCGTCGTCGTTGTCGTTGTCGTTGTCGTTGTCGTTGTCGTCGTCTTCATCGTCGTCGTCGTTGTCGTCGTTGTCGTTGTCGTTGTCGTTGTCGTCGTCTTCATCGTCGTCGTCGTCGTCCGCCGTCTTCGTCGTCGTCGTCGTCGTCGACTACAGCGGGCCTGCGCAGCTCCCCCCGCATGGGGCATCCGTATTGCGTCGTCGTCGTCGTCGTCGTCGTTCGCCGTCGCCGTCGCCGTCGCCGTCGCCGCAGCCGTCGCCGTCGACGTCGTCGACGTCATCGCCGTCGCCGTCGTCGAATACATTGCGCTTGCGAACCCCCCCTCGCATAGGGCTTCCGCAGTGAGTCGTCGTCGTCGTCGTCGCTGCCGCCGTCGTCGGTCGTCGTCGTCGTCGTGTTGTCGTCATCGTGTTCGTCGTCGTGGTCGTCGTCGTCGTCGCCGTCGGCGTCATTGTCGTCGGCGGCGTCGTCGTCGTCGTCGTCCGTCGTCGTCGTCGTCGTCGTCGTCGTCGTCGTCGTCGTCGTCGTCGACTACAGCGGCCCCAGCCTACGCAGCACACCGGGCCCCCCCCCCATGGGGCATCCGCAGTGCATTGTCGTCGCTTCGCCGTCGCCGTCGCCGTCGCCGTCGCCGATCGTCGTCGGTCGTCGTAGTCGTCGTCGTCGTCGTCGTCGTCGTCGTCGTCGTCGTCGTCGTCGTCGTCGTCGTCGTCGTCGTCGTCTTCGTGGTGGATTGCACCGGGACTCGCAGCGCAGCAGTTCCTTTCGGGGCATCCGTCGTCGTCGTCGTCGTCCGTCGTCGTCGTCGTCGTCGTCGTCGTCGTCGTCGTCGTCGTCGTCGTAGGACATAGTGTAGTAGGGGGGGAAAGGGGGAGAAGGATGAGGATGAACTGTTTCCGCCTGCCTTTGCCGCTCCTGCCCCCCTCTTCCCTATCCTGTTTGTAGCCATGTCGGCACTGCCGGTCAGCTGACGCGCTTCTTGCCTCCGCCTTCTTTTTCTCTCCTGTCTGTGGCCGTTTTGGCCGATACGCCCCGCTTTAGCGGAGTCGCTGCTGCCCCCTTCCGCTGAAGCGGCGCCGCTTGCGTCGCGCCTGTCGCTCTCCTGCTGTCGGCCGGGTGTCGTCGCTAATACGGGCGCCGCCGCCCTGCGTTTAAATTTGGCGGGCGCCCGCCCCCGCGATTCGCCCGAGCAGAGCAACCATTTTTTAATGGCGCTCCCCGCCTGTTTTGCTGAACGCAAGCTGACATCGCGCGCCGCGCCAAAGCGGGAACGCGCATTCATCAGGGCAGCAGGAGGTAACGATCCTGATGCGTCCTAATATTTTCAGGATCCCCAAGATGCCCGAGCGTGCCATAAGGGCTGCAAAAACGAGGGCCGCTATATACTTTGAAAAACCCTGAAACGCATCCTGGGCCAACCCATTCATGACATCATCCTTGTCTTACCTCAGGCGAAGTCTGCGCGGTGCCGAGGCGAAGGCGACAGTTTCGTCCGTTCGCGCGTCGTTGTCGAGCGAAGCATTCGCGCCGCGCCCCAGCGCGAGCTCGGCTGTCCGTAAAGTGAGCGCGACGCCCTTTCGCAGGCGATGTGCGCCCCGCCGCGTATTGTACATCGTCGACGCCAACGCGTCCATGTTGAAATGGACATGCCGAGTTCGTGTTCCGATGTTTAAGATGAGACCTCCCATGCCCAGGTGCTATCCGTAGGTTAGGTGGTCTTTTTACAGGATATGCCCAAACATACTCAGGATTCGAGGGGCATGGGGGTGACGCAAGCAATGGCGTCGTTTTCACCGACTTTGGCGCGTAAAATGCCCGCGTAAGGTCGCGCGTCAACGCCCTCGTTTCCGTTGTGGCTTGCCGCCTTGGCGGCCCGCGTAAACCACGTCGTAACGTCGGTATGCCATCTCGCATGAAACTCTGTCTTTGTGTCGCTCATGTGAGGAAACCAGAGGTGTGGGGAGGGCGATGGGTGGGGAAGGGAGGGGCGATGATATTGACGGTGCGACCCCCCTGCGCCAGCCAGGCATGTTGAAGCAGATCGTCATCGCGGGTTGTACCACCATGGCGAGCCTGACGCGCAGACTTCTCTGTGCTCGTCATGGGGGGGAAACAGATGTGCGCCAGAGCGTGTGAGGATTTGGGGGTTTGGGGGGGGAAACCCTGTATTCCGCAAGACGACCCTCCCCTCACTTGAGCAAGCGCTTGTTGCTCTCATGCTGCGATTTGCCTGTTGTATTGCAGCGTGTAGCGTTGTCGTGCTTATTCCAATCTGTCATCTGGGTGCCAGCGTTGCCTTCGCTTTTCTTGTGGATCTATCGGTAAACACATATGTGCACATATACTATCATCCGTAAGGTCTTTGCCGCCGGCCCCCTCTGTGTCATCATGCGATCTATCAGGGTCGCGCCGGTGCGTCTCGGTGCTGCCTTGGCGCATCCGGGAACACCATGCAGGGGCGGGCAGGAGTCATCAGCGCCTGTCGAGACGTTGGCGTTATCCCAGTGGCTTTCGGCTAATCCCCCTACCGTGCGTGGGGTGTGGGTCGGGGGCCTCTTGTACATGTGTGGGGGTGTCGTGGGGAGCCTCCTCGGGGGCCTCTTGGAGGTGGTTTGGGCGCTTCTTGGTGGCCTTGGGGCCTCGTTGGGTATCTTTTGGGCCTCTTGAGTAATTTGCGAGGGGCCGTGGTCTCGGGGTTGCGAGCATGGCGTAATGTACACGGGATCGTGGCCTCGGGGACGCGCGACGAAACTATGGCGTGGTGATTTTTGAGAGGTCGTGACCTCGGATCCGCGAATCTGAAGCAAATCGCGAGGGATAGTTATCTCGAGGACGCGGGTGTTTCGTTATGCGCGAAGGTTCGTCGCCTCGGAAATGCAAGATGTCGTAATTTACGACCGAGGCCGAACTTATCCGCACGCCCTGGGTATGTGTAATTTACATACGATTCTGCCCCATCGTCCATCCTATACATGAAATCGCAGCAGGCATGTATCCCCTCCCCTCCCCTCCTCGCCATGCTTTGCAACACATCTTATGCGCGCGCACTCGTTTACCAAAAATCCGCAGTTTTCAAGAATCCCGAACAACAGATGGGACGAAGTGCGCACGCGCGCGTCCTCGCGCGCGCATGCCGCAATCAGTAAACAACTTTTGGTTTCGTAAGGATTTCAAAACCGAATGTCCAAAAAACATATAACACACAGGGTTTCGCAACATTGGTTTTCAAAGAAAGCTTGCGCACGCGCTCTTGCGAATGTATACGAGAACCATTTGTTTTTGAACATTTTTTTAGAACATGCTACCAAACGGGCTTCGCGCGCGCATGTCAAAATCTTTCGAACGCCATTGCGTGCGTGCCCTCGCGAAAACCCTTTGCAACAGCTGAGGCGAAGTGCACGCGCACGCGTCGTCGCGCGCGCATGCCGAAACCCGTCAAAACAATTCGGTTTCGTAACGATTTCAAAGCCGAGCGATTTCAAAGCCGAGCGATTTCAAACCATGTGCACATGGTTTCGCAAAATCATTTTTCAAAACATCGTGCGTTCGCGCCCTTGCGAATTCTTAGAAGACCGCCGGCTTCTCAACATTTTCATTGAATTCTGCCAAACGGGACTCTAGCGCCGCACGTCGAAGATATTCGCGCGCCCTTGCGCGTGTGCTGGGGGGGGGGGGGGCCAATATCCGTGTCAAATAATACAACGCGGGCCACTCTCGCGCGTCGGCCGCGCGCGCATGCCGAACTCTTTCCAGAACCTTCACCATCGGCGCGAGGACGCCGTCATCGTCGTCGGCGTGATCAGCATCGGCGCCCGCATTGGCCGCGCCGTCGCGTTTGTCAATATCGTCACCAGCATCGCTACTATCATCATCGTGTCAATCGTTGTCGACGTTGCCCTGTTACCGCGCACGCCCAAGTCGCCGAATCGCACGGAAGTGCCCGCTGGGATGTGCCCAGCGGTCAGCTCCACCACGGCCGCGTCGGTCGCGCCAAAGCAGCTGGCCGCTGCTCGCGCGTGCTTGGGTTGGCGCGGCCGCAGAGATACACCAGCCAACTCCGAGCATGCATCGCAATTGCCACCGCGCGGGGTTTAAAAACTAAGTGGCGGGTGTGTGGGTGGCGTGTTTGAGATAAGATGGGATGTGTCAACTCGTTTGTTGAAATCAATTCTCCTTTCTTAAACAATAGATTTACCCCCCAGGATTATCCGACCCCCCTTTTTCGTAGTGCGATTTGCATGTGATTCTGTTGCATCGCCCATGTGAAACACGAGTTTGCACCATCCCAGAGGGGCCGGTCTCCCCCCCCCGCCGTCCTTCGCCAAGGCACATGATGCGCGCGCACTCGTTTATCACGAATCAGCAGTGTCCAGTAGCCCCTTGCAAAACATGAGACGAACTGCGCACGCGTGCGTCGTCGGCGCGCATGCCGGAATCCATCGGACAGCCATTGGTCTCGTAAGGATTTCAAAATCCAGTGTCCAACAAAAACATACAAACGTAAACGGGTTTCGCAACGTTGGTTTTCAAAAAAAGCTTGCTCGCGCGCTCTTGCGAATTCATCAGAAGACCATCGTTTTTTTGTTTATGCTGTTTTTTTTGTTGCTGGTTTTCTAAACATTTACCGCACATTCAATCAAACGGGCTTTGCGACCGCGTCGAAATCGTTCGAACGCCCCTTGCGCGCGTGCCGCCGCGAGAACCCTATGCAACAGATGGGACGAAGTGCGCGTGCGCGTCGTCGCGCGCGCATGGCGAAATCCGTTAACACTTTTTAGTTTCGTACGACTTCGAAACCGATTGTCCAAATCACATACAACAAACACTTGGTTTCGCAACTGCAGTTTGCAAAAAAATGTATGCTCGCGCTCTTGCGGCCTCATCAGAAAACAATGGTTTGTCCCCCCATGGACTTCTGCCAAGCGGGCCTCTGGCGCCGCATGCCGAAATCATTTGCACGCCCTTGCGCGCGTGCTGGGGGGGGGCCAATATCCGTGTCAAGTAAAACCATGCGGGGCACTCTCGCGCGGCCGGGCGCGCGTGTCGATTTTTTTCCAACACCTTCATCACCGACGCGAGGACGCCGTCATCGTCGTCGGCGCGATCAGCACCTGCGCGGTCACTGGCCGTGCCGTCGTCGCTGTCAGCATCGTCGCCAGCATCGCTACTATCATCACCGTGACTACCGTTGTCGACGTTGTCATGATACCGCGCCCACCCAATACGCCGAATCGCACGGAAGTGCCCGCTGGGATGCGCCCACCGGTCAGCGCTACCGCGGCCGCGTCGGCCGCGCCAAAGTAGCTGGCCGCTGCGCGCCAAAGTAGCTGGCCGCGAATGCTACCAAACGGGCTTCGCGCGCGGGCGCGCGTCGAAGTCGTTCGGGCGCCCTTGCGCGCGTGCCGTCGCGAGAGTCCTTTGCAACAAATGGGACGAAATGCGCGCGCGCGTCGTCGCGCGCGCATGCCGAAATCCGTCAAATATATGCTTTCGGCTTCGCAGCGATGTTTAAACCGAGTGTCCGACACACACACACACCACAGCACATGGTTTCGCAACATCATGTTTCAAAAGGCGTGCGCTCGCGCTGTTGCGAATTCTTAACAAGACTATCGGTTTCTCAGCATCTTCATGGAATTTTGCCAAGCGGGCCACTGGCGCGGCATGCCGAAATTATTCGCACGCCCTTGCGCGCGTGCTTTCGGGCCACGATCCGTGTCAAATAATTCCATGCGGGGCGACGCTCGCGCGTCGGCCGCGTGTGCGTGTCGATTTCGCTACAAGATTGTCACCACCGACGCGAAGATTTAATTTTTTTTCGAAACGATCACGGCGTGTTTTTGTTTGTTTGTTTGTTTGTTTGTTTGGTTGTTGTGTATGCGTGTGTATATATATATATATATCAGTCGTACTTAGTTTTGACGTTTTATATCGGTTTCCCGCTATGTTGTATGCCCGTCTTGGTGAAAATCACCAACGGTTTTTTGTTATCAATTTCCGTTGCCGGTTCCGTGCGCTCATTTTCCGTTTTCGTCTTTCCCTACATGGCCCGCTCACCTCCCTTATTCGTTGTCGGAGGAGGCGCCCGGGGCGGAAGAGGCGCTAGCGTTTTCGAGGGGCAAGCTTTTTGATGGCCGTCCTTGTCACGCTTTGCTTGGTGTGCTTCGCCATCCCGAGCCCACGGGCCCTGCGCACCCTTGACTGAGACGGCTGCGTCGGGGAACATTGAGTCAGCCGTTTTTTTTGTTTTGTGCTTCTTTTCTTTTCCGTTTTCAGCTCTCCGTGGCTCCCCCCCGGCCCACTCCGTTTTTTTTTTTTTTGGGGGGGGGGTGAAACATGTTGTCAATACGTTTTCAGCTCGCGTGCAACCTGGCCCCCCCCACTCCCCCTTGCTGCCCCGTGCCCCCGACGCAACCGCCCCGCCTAAGGGTCCCTGCCAGGGCCCGTGGGCTCGGGATGGCGGCGCACACCAAGCAAAGCGTGGCCATGCCGGCCATGGAAAAGTTTGCCCGCCCCTTTGCCAAGAATGCTCCAGATTTCGTAATAAACGGAGGGGGGTCTCATTTCGGGGGGGGTCTCTTCCAGGCTATCTTGGAGGGCCTGGGGGGTCTGGGGACGATGTTTTGGAGGGTTCTCCCACGGGGGAGGTCTGAAATGGCTTGTGTTGGAGGGTCCAGACCCCTCCCTTTCATTATGAAATCTGGAGTAGCATTCGTCCATTTTGTATTTCGGAGTGGATGCGAGTGGACTGCGAGACTCATCGAGCGTGCCAGCAATAAGCGTGCCATGAGCAAGCATGCGCCCCCGCAGCCCAGTCCTGCGAACGCGGCCGAAACTCGGGCCACGGACTCGGGCAAATTGAAAAGCACTCCGCCGTTTTTTGTTTTTCGGGTTCCGGGTGCCTCAAAAGATTCTGGAGGGCGCCGTTTTCATTTTTTTTTTGTTTTTTCCTTCCCCCCCGTTTTCTCTCCCCCGCGGCGATTTTTTTCTTTCGTTTCCGAGTCTCGTTTTATTTCCGATCTCAATGTTCCAAGAGCGGAAAACGAAAACGGAACAAAAAAGCCCTGGCCGTTTTGAGAGCAAACTCAGCGCGAAGACGCCGTCATCGTCGTCGGCGTGATCAGCATCGGCGCCCGCACTGGCCGCGCCGTCGTCGTTGTCAACATTATCGCCCGCATCGTGTCTACCGTTGTCGACGTTGCCATGATACCGCTCCCGCCCAAGTCGCCGACTCGCACTGAAGTGTCCGCTGGGATGTGCCCAGCGGTCAGCGCCACCGCGGCCGCGTCGGTCGCGCCAAACTGGCTGGCAGCTGCGCGCGCGTGCTTGGGCCAGCGCGGCCGCAGAGATGCTCCAGCCAACGCCAAACACCCATCGCAATCGCCGCCGCATGGGTTTTGCAAACCAAATTGCGGGTGGGTGGGTGGGATGTTTGCAAGGGCGTTTTTTTTTTTTTTTTTTTTTTTTTTTTTTTTTACAAACCAAATCGTCTGTAATAATCAATTGCGCCACATAGTTTGCACCGCATCGATTGCACGACGTCGATTGTACCACATAGGTTGCACCACGTAGATTGCACTGCATAGATTCGTCGATTGTACCACATAGATTGCGTCGCGCAGATCGCACCACGTCGACTGCACGACATATGTGGCGCACCACACAGGTTGCACCATACACACACATCTATATATATTTATATATGTAGTGCACCACGTAAAGTGCACAACGTATATTGAACAACACATGTTGTATCACGTGGCTTGCGCAGCTCATTTTGAACCACATAGGTCTCCTCACAAGACTTGCACAACATAGATTTCAAATCATCGATTGCACAACATGGGGTTGCACACATTGAAATGCACCACGTAGGTTTTACCACATACATGGCAGTAGCAATATTTCACATCATCGATTGTTAGAAACACGCCGTTTGGGGTCCACGCTAGCTAACACCCTCCTCGCTATCCTCCTCACAGTTGTTTTCCGCTGGAGGTGTCGATCCAAATAATCTTCGTTCTGGACACGATCGCGGACGGCATCAAGGAGAGGTCTGCGGCCCAGACGCAGGCGCCTGGTATCGAGGCCGGAGACTACGAAGGTGGCCCACGGCAGGGTTTTCGGGATTTTGAAGCCCTTCTGGGGTTTCGGATGTTTGAATGTTTTCGGGGGAAGTGGAAAAGAGGGGGAGGGACATGATGTGAAGGGGAGCGTGGGAGGGAGGGAGGATGGGGGGGGAGGAGGAGGAGAGGCAGGATTAGGTAGCTCCCCGGCGGCTATGTCTGCTGTCCCGCGCATGCGGCTTGCATTTGTAATATCCTGCCCTTTCGGTGTCCTCTTTTTTGAGTAGCGTGCAAGGTGATGGGTTGTGGGCCAGTCGATCCTCCTACGTCACGGACTGCCAGTGTATCCACCCTTTGCATTTTATGGTTCATCACCATCTTACCAGCCTCGAACGTATCCCTATCCCTAAGACTGACACGCCAAAAAGCGATGGCAATCCTAGGGATCCGCCCTCAAAAAGAAGGGAATCCTTGAGAGTGGCATCGTGATGAGGAGGTGCCCAGCATAGGGATAGGGAAATGTTCCAGGCTGGTATGCTTCAGGAGGAGGAGGAGGAGGAGGAGGAGGAGGAGGAGGAGGAGGAGGAGGAGGCGGAGAGGGAGGAGGGAGGAGGGAGGAGGGAGGAGGGAGGAGGGAGGAGGGAGGAGGGAGGAGGGAGGGAGGGAGGAGGGAGGAGGGAGGGAGGGAGGAGGGACGAGGGAGGAGCTTTCGCACCTGCCTGCGCTGCGGCGGGCGCCGGTGCCACGTGGCGCCGCCAGCCCGCTCAGCACACGCGCGTTTTCCCGTTCTTGGGGAGAGCGGGCACCGAAGGAACCCTGACGTGGAGATGCACCAGCCTCGAACCTATCCCTATCCCTAAGATTGACACGCTAAAAGGAGATGACAATCTTAGGGATACACCCTCAGAAACTGAGGAAATCCCTAAGATCGCCATCGTGATGAGGCGATGCCCAACGTAGGGATAGGTATATGTTCCAGGCTGGTAAGAGGTGGCGTGCGCAGAGGGCGCCCTCGCGGAAGGATCGCCTCACAGGGACAGCGTGCTTTTCGGAGATAATCGACGCTGCTCTCTCCCACGCCGGCCGCGAGCTGGTCACTACCTGACTTCCGGCAGCGACGCTGCAGCCCGTCTCGTGCCGGAGCCAGGATGCACTTCCTTGGAGGCTTGATTCTGCAACGGCGCTGGTGCTGCCGCGGTCGATAACAAGCGTAATCTGCGATCATCTGGCTCAGTCTGGGTTTATCCCGCTTAATCCGGCTCGTGGCGCGAAGCTCCACATGCAGCGCCCGCCCGCCCGCCGGCGGCGCGCCACAGCGCGCGACCCGAAGCTCGGCTCGGCGCGGAGGAGGCTACGGAGGAGGAGGCTGCGGGGAGAGGGATGGGGATGGATGATGGCGGAGGGAGGAGGGTGGGCGGGACAGACGGGTGGAGGAGGCGGAGGAGGAGGAGGAGTTGCAGGAGGAAGAGGAGGACGGAGGAGGGCGGAGGAGGAGGAGGTGGAGGAGGAGGAGCAGGAAGAGGAGGAGGAGGAGGAGGAGGAGGAAGAAGGAGCAGTAGTGGTGGGATGAGGAGGGGGAGAGGAGGAGGATCAGGATGAAGTGGAGGTTGAGGAGGAGGAGGAGAAGGAGGAGGAGGAGGAGACGACAGTCGGAAAGACTGATAATACGACAACGAGGCGGTGGGCGCAAACAGCAACCCAGCGCCACGTTGGCAGCGAAGGTGACGATGTCAAGGCCTTGGCAGCCAAGAACTTGGCCAACATCAAGCAGGCTCGGTAGTCCTTCCCTCTCTCGCCCCCGAAGGTCTCGGCCTCCTCATCCTCCTCCTCTTCGCCTTCCTTCACTTTTCCTCCCTCCCTTCTCATCCCCTCCTATTTGCTAGGACGAAAGGCCATCCCGCGAGCTCTCCCCTCTGTGCCTCTCGTTCTGCTCCTCTCCTGCCCGCCCCGTGACAGGAGAGGGGGGCGCATGCGGAAGCTTCCACAAGGTACCGTGAGGTTTTCAGAGCCTGCTTTGTGCGCGCGATATGGTCTCACCCAGTCTACGAGCCTCATACATCAAAGGTGCACCCACACGCCCACGAGCGCGCGCGAGACACGAGTCTTTTTAGTGGCAGAACGGGAAGACGGGGGACGGAGGAGTACGGATGATGCTGATGGTGATGATGATGCTGATGATGATGAGGAGGATGAGGATGATGATGATGATGATGATGATGATGATGATGATGATAATGATGATGATGATGATGATGATGATGATGATGATGATGATGATGATGATGATGATGATGATGATGATGATGATGATGATGATGATGATGATGATGATGATGATGATGATGATGATGCTGATGATGATGATGATGATGATGATGATGATGATGATGA